TGACAACAATTTCTTGTTCTAAATAATCCATTTCCGTAAGTCAAGTTTGTAACCATATTCTCTGCAGAACGGGTCAATTGGACAAGGAGAAGGAAAAAAAAAATATAGAGTAAGAGGAAGACTTGACTTAAAAATTGTACATCTCAAGTCTTCTCTAGAATGGTCAAGAAAAATGGCTGACTTAAGAAGGCAAGTTAGAGTGCTTAAGCGGGCAAAGAAGTTAAAACACATAATAAGCATCTTATTAGATGAGAAGAATAAAAGATCATAAAATTCTATGAGCCTATTGGGGGGAGGTCAGTTCCAACGATTGTGATGTACTCTTATCATAATTGTATGTATAATCCTTTTCTTCTTTTCTACTTTACGAAGTCTAAGGTTGCATATCAAAGCATAATTAAATTAACTAAGCCACATAGGTGCCATTTTAAATCTTCTTCCACGTAGTTTAGATTATGAGAGTTTTAACGAAAAGTCTATGGTACTGTTCACTTTAACGAAAAATTATATTTTTATACTAAAAAATCAATACAGGTACTATTCACTTTACCCTTTATTTTGTCCTTATCATTAAAACTCAAAGTTTTCAAACTATTTTCATTAGTTTTCCTTTAGATTATTTTGTTTCCAACTGTTGAACTTTTCGGGTTTCTTCAGCCTTTCCTTTGCCTTTTTTTCGTTTATTTGAGTAATATTCTAATCTAACACAAGAGGACTCTTGCTCGAGTCGAGTAGTCACGAGCATTCACAACGCTACAAGAAGAAAATAATCTCAACACAGGAGAATGATAATTCAACATAAGATCGTCCATAACAACTCCACTCAAACTCAAAAGTTAAAAAATATGACAAGGGCTCTAGATTAAATTTTCAGAAGGTAACTCTCATATATTCTATAAAATAAACCCTAATTACAAGACAACCTTAAAGATACTGTTATCCTAATAAGCTACAATCGGGCAATATTGATGTTCTCAGAGTTAAATGTGACGCTTTTTAGCCTTCTTCTCCCACCAGCAGGTTCAGTGCAGCTATTCTTTGATTGATCGCATCCATGTCCATTTCTATTAGAACAAGACAACATCCAGATGGTTAAACTTGAAAACCAACGACAGATAAAATAATTGATCGATGCTGAGTAGCAAGAAAATGATATGCCAATGAAATTGCTATGCATAATATGATCATAAAATGTGTAGGCATCCAGTCCTCATCTATTTGTTTGATTGTCCAAGTTCCCATGGTATTACGAGCCTAAGTTCCGAACCATATATTCTGCAGAAAATGGTCAATTGCTCAAGGAGAATAGTACTAAAGAAAAAGCCAGGATATAGAATAAGAGCATGACTTGACTTAAAAATTTCTACATCTCAATTAATTCTTCTCAAGAATAGTCAATGGGAAAGAAATTACAAGGCAACTTTGAGTGCTTAAAGGGACAAAGAAATTAAAATAAAATCATTAAATATAGCCTACTTACCCATTGCATGCATCTCATTGGACAAAAAGATCGTTGTTCAACTTCATCGATCGATCGTGATGTTCTTTTTTTTTATTTATTTTTTATTTATTTATTTTGTGTGTGTGTGTGTGTGTAGAGATCATGCTGCAACTATAGCAGTCATTTATTCCAGATGCAACAAAACCAAACAGTCCAACAAGGCCTAAAGTTGCCCGTAATCAAGTTGACGACGCTAAGCGGCTTGGTTCCTCCTTTGCACTTAATTTAGTTCAGAATAAATTGTAGTAATGATCTCTCAACTTTTATCAAATTAGACCAATGGTCCCTCAACTAAAAATCCATTATGGTCCCTCAACTCATCAAAACGTGTAGTTATGATCATTTTTGTCAACTTCGTCAGACTTTTGTCAAAACGACTTATGTTGAAAGGACCATTGCAACAATTGGGTTAAAGTTGAGGAACTTTTGGTAATGAATTTTTAGTTAAGGGACTATAGCTGCACGTTTTGATGAGTTAAAGGACCAATGGTAATGAATTTTTAGTTGAAGGACCATTGCTCTAATTAAGTTAAAATTGAAAGACCATTACTACAATTTACTCATTTAGTTCAAATTAGATTTGAATATCACTCGAAGAAACAAAAGCAAAGGCCGAGGCAAGGCCAAAGAAGCCCAAAAGTCCAAACTGCTAGAACCAAATTTAAAAGGAAGTGGTATCTCAAGTGGCTGCGAGCATTCACTGGATACACTTCGATTCCCTAGAGTCCAAATATGGCTTGCCTTCAAAAACTAAAAACAAGAAGACTACTCCAGTGATTGTATACGGGATTGCATAGCCAAAAGTCGAAGAACAAAAACAAACAGGGCATGGTCATACCACCTCGGCATCACAAAGTTTACGCACAGCGGGATCAATTACAGCATACCAGTCCGTCAAATGGCAACAGAACAAAATGGCATTAACAGTTTGGATCCCCAGAGAATAAGGTAATTTCAACTGAAGGGCATCCATAAATGCTGCTTAAATCCAAAGTTAACATGTAACATGCGCTCGATTACATTTTCAGACGATAACCTCAAATATCTATAAAACAAAACCCGAACACAAGACGCCCTTAAAGATAATGTTATCGCATTGGGCTACAACTGGGCATTCTGATCTTCTCTCAAAGGGTTAAATATGACGCCTCTTTACCTTTCCTCCCTTGCCGTGGCGCCTTCTTTTGCCCACCTTGAACACCCTTTTAGATTTCTTGCCTACCCCACCAGCAGGCTTCAATGCAGCTATCTTTCATTGACAGCATCCACGTCCACATCTATTTGAAGAATGCAACATCCAGATGGTTAAACTTGAAAACAGCTGACAGATAAATTAATTGAAGCTGAGTAGCTAGAAAATACTATATGTCAACAACAATGCGAATTGCTATGCATCTCAACAAGAACACTCAAACTTCATAAATCAAGTCTTGCCTGCATAATATAAACATAAAAAATGCAGGCATCATACAATTTCATTTATGAATAAGAATATGCGAATACAACCTAAACAATAACAAAAAGCACTCACTTAAATTCTTCGAAAAATGAGCTAGCCAAATGCGTGATCGAGTATATTATTAATTAATTATGCTACAAACCCATGGTGCCAATAATTCCCACCAAATGACCTACTCATTTATCTCGCTTAAGAAACTTTCTGAAGAAACGAGTTGGTTAAAGTTAGAGCAGATATCCAACACCAAGGGATGCAGAAACAAAAATTCCACGTAGCTTGAAATAAACTGTTGAAACAAGGCACCCCTGGCCACCATCTAATTCTATTTGTTTGTTTGCCTATTTGTTCATTTTACGTTAACATCCACTGTGAATTCAGACTACCTGACCAAGCATCGGAATCATGCTGTAAACGGAAATTAAATTCCAAGAAAGTACCATACTAAAAGCTTCTGCCTGGTGTTTAAGCAAGTTATCTCACTTCTCAAATAGTATCTTTCGGAAATATAAACCTAGTCTAGTTATTTTTCCAACCAAAATATCACTCTTCACAAGAAGTCCAATTTATAGACTTTGTAAAGAAAGTGTGGGACTGAAAAGAATTTTTTTTCTCCTTTTGTTGCTGAATAAATTTCAGTTTTTTCCCCTAAACTATAATTCCATCAGAAAACATGTACTATCTGTCAATCTTTGGATGCATATATGGTAAGAGCTAGCAATAAAAGACCTTTTTTTTTTTTCCAACCAATATATATCGAAATATCACATTGCAAGAGCAGGGCATCACAAAAAGCAAGCGGATTGATAGAAATTTAAGCAAAACTAGCAAATGGGTATTTAAAACATGAAGAAAAATGGGTGGAACCACATAATTTCCAACAAATTAAGCACAACTTAGAACATAGGTAAGTGAATTTAGCACAAAATTGAAATGGGTATCGAGCAAAAGAGAGCATACCCATGTTGCTAGTGGATGCGGAGGCGCCGTCAGTGGTGGTGACCTCCATAGCAGAGGTGGATTTAGGCGGGGGCCGTACGGGCAGCTTGGGGGCAGCGAGGGCAGCTTCCTGGGCAGCGAGCTTAGCTTCGTCTTTCTTGTCGTAGTAGGGCTCCACCATCTCTCTCCGTATGGCTCTCAGCCTCTTCTCTCTCTTGCATCTCATCGACTTCGCCATTGTTTCTGCACCGCCTTTGCCTCTCTTGATTTTGGGTTTAGGGTTTTGCGAAACGCGAAAAGGGCAAAATTCGGATTTTACGTTTGATTTTATAGCTTCGGGAGAGCCCTATCGAGTTAGTTCCTTAGTTGGGGGTGGATTGCTGTTCTTTTGAATTTTCCGTTTTAACCCTGAGTTTATTCATCAAAATGAAGTGATTTTCGCACTCGTTTTCTCCTATGCACTCTTCGCTTTTTCTTAGCTTTAGGATTGAATAAGAGAAATTATTTTCACACACCCATTTATCCTATATGCCCAAGTTTATTTATGTCTCTTGAGTGTGAAAATCACTACTCACTTAAAAAAAAATGTCGATTTCAACGTCTCTACACCAATTCCTAAATATATCCTTACAATTTATCAATAATAGTGTGCCCGAAATTCGGGGATGAATGAGATTTGGTGATGTCTCTCATGATCTCATCCGAGTTGGTTAAGGGCAATGCACTAACAATTTAAGGAATAGTTTTTTCGTCTGACCACTACACCGCCATATAATATTACAATCTACCTATGTTATAACTTGTGTGTATTATATTCTGAAATATAAACTTGTCGCTCACTAATACTATAACACGTAGGCTAATGACAATGTTACAACTACAAACAAAATTTTCTCCAATTTAAAGTGAGAACCAAAAACGAATAAAACTTAGATGATCGGTTAAGTGAGGAGTAGAAAGAAAGGGGAAGGGAATTGCGAAGTTTATGGTGTTCAATGGCCATAAATGTCGTAGTCTTCTTCTTTATCTACAGAACAAAAAATACACACACAAGAAAATTACACACCAGAAATACACACCATAAATGTCGTAGTCTTCTTCCATTTTACCACTGAGGATTAAAATTATTTATTAAATTATAGAGTTAATCTCAGTTTACTACCCTGAAATTTCGTGGTTTTTAACATTTGGTACATGAAATTTTTTTCATCCCAGAGTCATACCTCAAGTCTTAATTTTGGAACAGTTTCATGCAACCATTAAGTTTTCCGTTAGAATTTCTGTTAACTGACGTGTCAATATAGGCCTACTTCAATATTTAAAAAAAAAAAAAATGAATAACCCACCCTCTTCTCCCCCAACCCCCTCCCTCTCTTCTTCCCTTTACAACCCGCACCCTCTCCCCCAGCCTTCCTTCACCACCAGTCTCCCCCAACCTTCCCCCACCTTCCTTCTTCCCTCTGTAATTTCTTCCCCATCCCCCTCTTTCTCTCTCTCTCTCTCTCTAAAATCCCCACAAGCCTAACCCATGTGGATATTTCTCCTCCTACCACAATTTCTTCCCCATTCCCCTCTCTCTAAAATCCCTCTCTGCAACCTCCTCTAACACACACAAATTATAATTTGTAAAATCTTAATTCTACCCATTTCTCGCTCTCCGCTGCTCCAGATTAGAAAGAAAGAAAAAAAAAAAAAAAACCTAATTTCCATTGGTGAAGGGACGAGAAGAATCAGGGTTGTGGAGGAATCGAAGATCTAAATAGGGGAGGCGTAGATGCATGTCGCAGGAATGAAGGAAGGAAGGTGGGGGTTCCTACATTTGATATTGTAGGTTGCCCAGAGAGAGAGGGTGATGAAGGGAGGTTGGGGGAGGGGGGGGCCGCTTCATGACGTGGGTTTTGGTCTTCTGTTTCTTGTTACGCGGGTCGCCAGCAAGCCCAACATAGAAGACGAAAGGGAGGGGGTTGGGTGCGGGTTGCAGGGGGTTGGGTCAGGTAGAACACGAGTGGGGCTTCTTTTTTTTATTTTTAGTGTTTTTGTTTTTTTTATTTAATTTTTTAATATTGAAGTGGGTCATATTGACATGTGACGCTCAGTTATTACCCATGTGGGCACCACGACATCAGTTAACAGAAATGTACCAAATGTTGAAAACTACGAAGCTTCAAGATAGTAAACTAAGATTAACTCTAAATTACATAACAAATAAATAAGATGTTATATTAAGTCGGATTACATATGCTTTGATCAATATTAGAATCTATGGATTATCAAACTGGAAATCTCAATTTATATCCAGTTAATTATATTGAATTCGGATCGGATCAATCTGAATCCATATCTACGTGTCATATGAAGATATTCCAAACTTCCCCCCGTACACCAAGCTTCCTTCGATCTCCCGACCTCCCTCTCCCCAGCATCTCTCTCTGCTTCACCTCCCACTCCCAGGGATACAAGATTTCAGTCCTGTAGCATGAGAGCTTGTTCAAGGTGTGTGCAGTCCATTATATTGTTTTTTTATTTTTTTTCTGGAGTTCCTGTGTTTGTTTGTCAAAGATTACCCCATATATATCTGTTTATGCTTTTTCATCAGTGAATAAATTAAATCCCTAGAAACTGAGCCACCTGCTAATTTTAACGGAATTCTTTAAGCAATCTTTATTTTTATTTCAGGTGATACTTTGCAAATCAGTAAAAGTTCAGGTGGCATTGGTATAAAATTATAAATTTCCCCAACTTTCGTTCCAGTTTATGTTTCTCTGATCTTACGAAAGTCGAAAACCCTAACCCTATCAGCGTTCTTTGGATATTGCTACCAAAAGTAAATATTAACGCAGCAGAATGGTACCAAAAAGATATCACCACCAAGTTGATCGCTCATGAAGAATTGTATTGATGATCTTCCTGACCCGTTGTTGGTTGAAATCCTTTGTCGACTTCCTTGCAGTAAAGTTGTTCTTCAGTGAACAAGTGTGTCGAAGCGTTGGTTCCATCTCATCTCTGATCCTTCTTTTGTTCGCCATTTTCTATGTCTCCAAAGCAATCGACATAAGCCCCCATTCCAAGTACTCTCGTTGTATTTGCCTTTAGCGATAGGGAGGAGCGCAAAACTGAAGTCTTTACAACGTCCAACCCTCCAGTGTTCCAAACAAGCAATCTCTCTTTAAGTTTCCTTCCTGGTTTTGGTGACAACGAAGACGGAGAACAAATTGTTGTAGCTACCTATAATGACTTGTTTTATGCTGTACAACAGGTTGGGTTTAAGGGGATTACTACATCTGCAATCCATACACCAAGCAATGGGTTGCTCTTCCTCCCACCCCTCCAGTCCACAATGGTAAGATTGAACCTCTGAGAGTGGGATTCATGTATGATCCATATTATAACCACTCCTCTGAAGAAGACAGTAGCGGTACAAGTTTTGATATCATACAGCTTAATACTGAGTATAGGTGGATGATTGTATGATTAATTCGGAATTGGTCAGATGGCAGCTACCATGTGGAGACGATCTCTTCTGAGACTAGTGGTGAATGGAAAGAGTTGGCTATGTCATTTAGCCCACAACAAATAAAACACATACGCGACAACGATGGTTTGGAATTTACGTTATACACAGCCGTTGCTCACAACAGAATGTTTTATTGGGTGCATAATTTATCTGAATGTAAATTTGAGTTGAATCCATTCCTTCGTAGTAGTAGTGGTGATAATATTGCTAAATGCCGTTTCATTAAGGAGCCTGCGACTTTTTTTGGTGGACGAGTAAAGAATTGGTATCTAGGTGTCTAAGGAGGCTGTCTGCGGATGTGCACGGTCGGATTGGGTGCTGATTTTCCCATTCAGAGTTGGGAGCTGAAACTACAAGAGGCACGTGAGGGAGATGGGAAATTTGAATGGTTGTTCGACATAATTTCCCTGCCTTTCGATGATATTCCTTTGTTTTCTGAACAGGTAAACAGGAGCGGCATCAGTTGAGATTCTAAGTTTCCACCTAAATAATCAAGATATCGTGTATTTCAAGTTCAATGAACACATTGTCATGAGCAACCTCCGTGAGGGAATGTTAGAGTTAGAGATAGCTGCAAAGACTCCATATGATAGCTGTTCTTGGAGAGAGGCCTACGCATTTGCACTCCTATGGTGGCTGACACCAGTTCCTAGACTCTAGGAAATAGTCTTTTGGTTACGTTTGGTTGTTTGTGGGCTGTGCCGGCCTTTGTCCGTCTTGGTGGGTGTATGTGGTCTGGTTGTTTCTACTAATTTTAGCAGTCAAATTAATAAAGGATGCAGATGAGTGTAATTCTTTTGATCACATTGCGGTATTAGTGAAGAAACAAAGATATATAGAATATGTAAACTAAAACGACACTGGATCATTTCTGCAACTAAACGTCAAAATATGATCATTCCTGCTAATTGCCTTTTACTTTTTCCCTGATAACTAATACAATATGGACACTAAAGCAACAATGATTGCCTTTATGAATGAAAAATTGTGGGAAAAAAGAGGGTGGAAACAGCAACAAAGTGGTCTGCAAGAAGGTACAAAATGTAACTCCTACAGTACATTGAGGAGACAAATCCGATCAACCGTTTGCACGTGATACAGACAGCTTAAATTTGATCAATGTGCCGGAGGTCAATGTTCATTTACCTGGAAAATTAGTATCGATATCAGTCAGATTCTATCCACCATCTCATCAGTATTTGAACTTATAACAATCAAATCAGACAATGTTATTTTCCGAACAACGTATTATTGTCGCTCAAACAAGTAAACCCTGTAATAATATTGAAAGCTCACCCCAAGTTAGGACAATCCAGGTAGATTTCATAGCTTGCCCAAGGACAGATGGAATGTAAACTTTCTGCTATCCACTTCTAACAAAACTAGATGCTCCGACCTTCCTCACATGTTGGTTGTTCATCAAATTCCTCACTCTTTCTGCATCATCCCACTTCCCACCCAAAGCATACAAATTCGAGAGGAGAGAGTAAACCCCACCATCGTTCTCTGGTTTTACCATCTTCATGACCTGCTCAACCACTCGTTCTGCCATCTCAAACTGTTTATGCTCCTTACAAGCAGATAAAAAAGCAGTCCAAATAACGACATTGGGCTCTAGACTCATTTTCATAATAACCTCATAAGCTTCCTCTAACAGTCCTGTCTTGCCGTACAAATCAACCATGCATCCGTAATGCTGTATTCTAGGCTCCAAGCCACTTTCTTCGATCATCTTGAAATATTTCCGGCCCTCCTCAACTAGTCCTGTATGCACACAAGCGCTCAGAACTCCAGTAAAGGTCAGTTCATTAGCTCTTACACTGGCTTTTTGCATCATCTCAAACAAAGACAATGCTGCTTTGCTGTAGCCATGTTGTGCCGATCCACAAATCAAAGCGGTCCAAGTCATGACATTCCTTTCTTGCATCAATTCAAAAACCTGTGCAGCTCCCTTCAAAAACCCACACTTAGCATACATGTCAACCAATATCGTACCAATTTCCACATTCAATTCCCACCCGTTCTTGGCCATCAACCCATGAACTGATTTCCCCACCAACAAACCAAGAGAACCCAAGTGGGCACAACCCGATAAAACTGAGCCCACACTCACTTGGTCAGGTTTCAAACCTTCATCCATCACCATATCCCGAAACAACGATAAACCACGCTCGTGCTTGCCATTGTTCACGTACGCAGCTATCATGGCGGACCACGACGCAACATCTCTCAACGGCATCTCCTCAAAAACCAAACGCGCTCTTTCCACATCCCCCGACCTCGAAAACCCCGCAATCATCGTGTTCCACGTGACCGTGTTCTTCTCAGGAATTTCATCGAACAGTAGGCATGCATCCACAAACGACACAACAACGTACGCATGGAGAAGCGAAGTGGCCACATATACATGGGAGCAAAACCCAAGTTTGATTACATGGGCATGGAGGTGTTGAATGATTGCGTGGTTCTTCAACTGGGTACACGATTTTAGCGTAAAGAGGACGGAGAAGGTATCGAAAGGAATCGAATTTCGGTGCATTTGAGAGTAGATGTGCAGAGCATTGTGGGGGGAAGAAGCATTTCGGATAGCGGAAGCCCATGAATTGTAGGTTTTGAGAAAGCAATAGAAGGAGGCGTGGTATTTGCTTTTGGGTTTTATAAGATGGTTCGAGAGAGAGATGACGAGGGATTGCATGGCTTTGTTTGTAGATAGCGCGCGCTCCCTTGTGCATGCGGTATTGCCGCGTTTTAGTTGCTTGCAATTTTTTTATAAATTGAAACTAATCACTAGCTAAAAAAAATACATTGCTTCGGAGACACTCGTCGATCAACCATAAGCATCACAGTACGGCGTAAATTTGATTAGAGATAAAATATTTAACATTTGCCTTGTCAAAAATTCCTGTGAAAGTCCTAAGAATCCCTGTGAAAGTCACTTCATTAGACTCCACACCGGTTTGTTGCATCTCCTCATACAAAGGGATTAGGATCCTCTCCTAATCTAAGGATGAGGATCCTCATGACCAAGGGATGTAGGTCGTTAGATGAAAATCCAACGGTTATAATTATTATAACTTTAAAGAGACCTTCTATTTGTAACCGTTTGATTTTCATCCAACGGTCTACATCCCTTAATCATGAGGATCCTCATCCTTAGATTAGGAGAGGATCCTGATCCCATACAAAGACAATGCTGCTCTGCTGGAGCCACGTTCTGCTGATCCGCAAATCAATGCATTCCACGACCCGACGCGACATTTACACTAAGAATAGGAGAGATTTTCTATGTATCCAAAACACGAGGTAATAAAATATGTATTATTACATATGTAGTAAGATATTTAAATTAAAATTTTAACTTCTTAAAAAATAAAACTTTTCTCGATTTATATAATAACATGTAATGTACTACCTGTCCTTCAGACACATTGAAAATTTTCTCTTTAACCTACATGTCAACCAATGTAGTACCAAGTTCCACACTGAGCTCCCATTGGTTCTTGACCATTAGCCCATGAACTGATTTCCCCAGCAACCACCCAAACAAGAGGATAAAACAGAGAATGCAATCCCTTGGACCTTCTCATTTACCATAGTCCGAAACAGCAATAAGGTACGTACGTGCAATGATCATGGCAGACCATGCATGAAGTTAGAGTTTGCATATTAAATCATATGCCTCGTTTACTAATCCGTAATTAGAATGAGAGAAATTGAATTGATGAAGAATTGAATTGATGAGGAGTTAGAATAGAGAGGAGTTAGAATTGGATTCTTGTTAAAGCTGTTTATTTAAATTTTCTGGAATCGGAGTAAAAAAAGTACTGATTTTATTCAAATGTTTACTAATTCATTAGAATCGGAATATAATTTAATACGATTACAAAAATGCCCTTATTCAAAATCTATATAACAAAATTTTATATAATAATTCATAAAAAAAAAGTGAATATGTATTTATTTAAATAAAAAATAACTCAACCCCAAACCAATCTTATCTTTCTCTTCTTGAAGAACCCACGCCCCACCGCCACCTCTCGCTATCTCAATCCATTCCATTATGATATCAAGTTTATCTATTTCAAGTCTTGGGCATTTGATGGCAAATAAACTCCACTGTAAGTCCCTGATTCCCTCTTTCTCTTATTCTTCTTTTCTCTCTCTCTCTAACCCAGTGCATTTTGATTTCAAAATTTTCCTGGGGAAACATAGAGATATGGCGGGAAGTGGGAGTAGTGGGTTTGGGTTGCGTGCTGGGCATTGGTGGTTGTGGTGTTGGGAGAGGGAGTAGCTCTGGACATTATCGTTGGACAGCAGTAGGTGGATCTTCTGTGTTAATGCAAAGGGTAGTGCTACAATTTTAAAAATAAAGTGAGGGTATAAGTGGTAGAAAATCTGTATTCTAGATTCCCCACAACAGGCGGAATTGAAATACCTCATAGATCTCAGGAGTCCAATTCCTCCAAAAGAAGGAATTGAATTTCAAAATTTTTTAGGGTCCCACCACTTTTTCAATTCCTTTAGATTTAGTAAACACTGGAGTACTTCGTAATCGGAATTCAATTCCTCATTTTGATTCCGATTACAAGTACGTAAACGCGCCAATAGAGTTGTTAATGGGTATCAAATTAAACGGATGTTAACACCATCATCACCATTACATGAAGTTAGAGGTGGCAGATTAAACCATAGAGTTGTTAATGGGTATTCATTAAGACTCATTTAGTTTGATTTCACCTAACACCATCATTACCATTACAAATATCTCATATTTATGATGGTGATATCAAATTAAACGGATCTTAACGAGTACCGATTAACAACCTAACGTGGTAATTTATCACCTCTACGTGAAGCAATGTCACTCACTTGCATCTCCTCATTTTGATTCCAACACCCCACACAACCCCCCCCCCCCCCCCCCCCCAAAAAAAAAGCACCATCGCTGCCTAAAAAAAGGTCGTCAGATAAAATGCAACACTTAACTTTAGGTTCTTCTTCCAATATATCAACTGTGCAAACAATCATTCAAACTGAAAAATGATAATTTAACAAGCGATAAGTGTATATATTTATTTTATTCTTTCAACGTCTTAGTGGGTGTGTATATATATGTATGTTTTAATTAAATTCACAAAGTCAATCTACTTCAACATTGCTATCATGAAAAGTGATTAAGTGATAATTTCATTAATAAAAAAGAAAATGCAATTTATGGCAAGGAGTACATGAAGCCTAACCATGGCAATGAAAGAAGGCCATGAAAAACAAGCAAACAAAATAATGTCAATAAATGAAAACCTATTGAAAAAGATAGCTTGGAAGACACACATAATCTCCATAATAATATGAAAGAATAAGAGTAGGAGGAGAATCCCATCAAACAAGATCAGTTGAAGAGGTGCCATGATTTGCTAGAGCATCAGCAACTTGATTACTTTCCCTACAAATGTGAGAAGATCCAAAATGAATTTGGGGAATTCGATGCAAGCAGTTTCCCTACTCACCCTCAATTGCCAAGGCACCAACTGAGAAGAGCGCAAGAAATCAATAATCAAAGCAAAATGTACTTCCAACCAAATAATTAAGTATTTTTAATGCAAACGGTCCCGAACTGAAGCCAAACCAATACTGCTAGTATTTTTTTACTTATTTTTTAATGTTTCGGTTTAAAAATTAGATAAAAATTGCTTATGTGACTTAATGAATGGTAAAACTATTTCAAAATAAGTTGTAACATTTTTCTTTATGAGCAAGCAAAAAATCTTGTGAAAACTCAACAATCTCATATTTCACAAGAAAA